ATTAACGCATGTGTATTTGTCCTCGGCCCGCCCCGTAGTTTCAGAGCCCAAAGGCTTGACGTTGTTGTTGTTAGTTGGATGGTGGGAGAGGAGAGGGGGGGGGGGGTGCTAGTGAACTGTCAATGGGGGGGAAGCCTCGCTGCGGGGAAACGGCGGACCTCTGTCGGCACAACTTCGATGAGGTCGTTTAAAATCATAATAAAGTAAGGGCGGTGCCGGCCGTCAGCGAACCGGCCGTTCTGTGGTTCTCCAGATTCTACAGACGGCCAGTCCGCCCCTGCTGACAGCCCCGCATGCCGCTCGCTTGCGGCAGACCGCGCTTGAAAGTTTGCCGGGGAGACGCCTGGACAACAACAGCGATAGCTAAATGGGTGGCTACAGCTTAACATTGTGGAGGACGAGGGGCTGCATCAGTGGCGTAGCCAGGAATTATTGTGTGGGTGGGCCTGGAGAAATGTAGGTGGGCCAGGGGGAGAGTTATTAAGCGTGGGGTATGAGCTGAAACTTCATTATTGATTTTATAGATTTTTTAATGCACTAATTAAACCAACCCGGTATCACGGCAAGACGTGAACATGTGACGATCTACCATGCTGGGAGACGTGAATATGTCACGGTTTCGTCCCTTCAAACGTGACAGTTACACGGTATTGTTAACATGGCCCAACCAGTGGAGAAATACCCGGAAGTGCCAAGCAAATGCTCTACCAAGACTATTGGTCGGTTTTTATTGTCAAAATGAGATGTTTTTAATTTATTTTTTAATCTTCACACTTGATTTCGCCGATTTTCTTGTTGCCCTAGCTGGTCGACACCTCTTTTAGCAGAAACAAAGGCTACATTAATGTATTAAATCTATGTTAATCCATGTGTGTGGATCATAGACTGGTGTGGATGTGGAATTAACGGACGTGACGTTGTGCGATTGCGTTGCCAGGCAACGCAATTTACAAACTCTTCAACTACAACCCTAATTATATTTAAAAACATTTTAGAAGGCCTCACGAAATACTTTAATGTAAATTAAAATGTAAATGTGAAGGGGTGTGTGTAATGTGGTGATTGATATTATTCACCCACGGATCTATGGGTTGGGGGTATTGTTCCGCACGGACATTTTAGTTAACCGGACTTACTGTTGATGTGAAATCCGAAAGAAAATACGTTCTACACCATAACGGTGCACAGCTGATATAAAAGGATATTTGTGATTTTCTTTGAATATAAGAATGTAAATACTGAGTTGAGAGAATAGTCAGGGGTTTTGGGTGATGGGAGACACATCTATGGATTCAGAATTTCAATAGCTTACTGTTAAATGACGGATATACCTTTCTGTCTGTGATGTTTTACAAATCAGATATTATAAGTAAAACATGTGAAATAATATAGCAATATCCTGTACAATTATGTGAAAACATGAATAAAACTACACATCTTCAGATGTTATACATACACAAGTGTCCTACACTAATAATACAAAGTTATTATGGCTGTGTGTACCTTGTGTGCACCGCCTAGTGGTTAAAGCACGTTATTGAATTAGTTGTGTATATGATATGTCAATGATCCTTAGAAAATCTTGAAATCTTGAAAGGGATAGCAAAATAGCCATTATATACAGTCTTTAATTAACTATTAGTAGAGAATAACGAGTAATGAATATACTTTATAGGGATCTGCAGATAAATGTTTAGTCTTCTCAAGCAGCAACTATCAAATATCTCTCCTGATTGTTGGCACTTGACACCTTTCCCTGAATTTTACTCAGGTGTAACTAAAGCCTGATTTAAGGGTTGTTTATATTTCACATCATTAATCAGAATCTGCAAAGTAACTAAAATAAATGTAGTTGAGGTAGATACCAGGTTAACCTCTGAATTGTAGTGGAGTAGAATTGCTGTTTTGTTTAGTAATGGATATTGAATATGGAATAAAGGTTTTGACAAGACCTGCTCCAGATGTTAATGATCTAAACAAAACAGCACACCTGAAATGTATATTTAAATACTTTATTAAGGGCAGTGAATTCGTTTTTTCTGTATGTTTTTCAAATCAGTGTTATACAGTAAGTGTCATAGACAGTGTTACATTGCTATTATTATCCTTAAAATATATATAAAACAAAACCATTTATGATCTTTTTTTTTGGGTGGTTTACTAATGACAGTTAATTATGTTACTGCTATTGATGGTTTCATTTTTGTGAAAAATAATAAAATAATAAAATTCAATAACGTGCTTTAACCACTAGATGTGCCTTTCTATCAGCTGTGCACCGTTATGGTGTAAATACAGCCTATCTACCAATTGGATCAAATATAAAAGTCAGCCGAATTAGTATTGATACTGCAAGGAGACGTATTGTGTGAAAAGAAATGTAAGATGTTGTTTAATTGCTGATATATTTATGATCCACGTCACGTTTTCAGTTTTGGCGGCAGTGCTTCCTGTTTGTCCAGAAGTCTTCTCATCAGGGCTCTATAAATAAAGAACTACGGCAGATATGTAATATTTAATGCAGCCGAACCGTGTATTACAATGCCGTTATGTGATGACCTCCAAAGAGAAAAGCAAGCAAACTCGGAATAAAGTATTATTTTATTTTTAAAAAATGTTTTCGGATTTCACATCAACAGGAGTCCGGTTAACTAAAATGTCCGTGCGGAACAATACCCCCAACCCATAGATCCGTGGGTGAATAATGTCAAACACCACATTACACCATAGACTGTATATATAAGCATTACACACACCCCTTCACATTTACATTTTAATTTACATTAAAGTATTTCGTGAGGCCTTCTAAAATGTTTTTAAATATAATTAGGGTTGTAGTTGAAGAGTTTGTAAATTGCGTTGCCTGGCAACGCAATCGCACAACGTCACGTCCGTTAATTCCACATCCACACCAGTCTATGATCCACACACATGGATTAACATCGATTTAATACATTAATGTAGCCTTTGTTTCTGCTAAAAGAGGTGTCGACCAGCTAGGGCAACAAGAAAATCGGCGAAATCAAGTGTGAAGATTAAAAAATAAATTAAAAACATCTCATTTTGACAATAAAAACCGACCAATAGGCGCGGTAGACCATTTGCTTGGCACTTCCGGGTATTTCTCCACTGGTTGGGCCATGTTAACAATACCGTGTAACTGTCACGTTTGAAGGGACGAAACCGTGACATATTCACGTCTCCCAGCATGGTAGATCGTCACATGTTCACGTCTTGCCGTGATACCGGGTTGAATTAAACATAAGCATAAACTAGCAGTGAAAACAAAAACATAGGCACGGCGGCCTCAGAATGTAAAACTGACATCCACATGACTGGCTCGGCGGCCACAGGTTGTTTATCCTTGACAGTCGCACAGTGGGCACACACTGAGAGTGTTTTCATATTCAGCAAATGTGTACACGCTTCACTGCAGACCTCAAGAAGAAATAAGACTTTCATTTACTCACGGCAAAACTTACTTTACTTACTAATTTACTCACGGTAAAAAAATGCACTCCCTATTCCATTGTCATGAAGGTGGAATCTAACTATATCCAGAATAAGTTTGATTGGATCCAGGCTAGAAACATGTTTTTTTCTGCTGTAAAGTTGGGCATTTTAACATGGGGGTCTATGGGAATGGCTCCTTTCTGCATCCATCCCCTGTCGGCCACTAGATGAACTGCACTTCCTTCTGGGCTTGTCAGGAATGTCAAAATCGCTATGACGCGCTGATTGGCTGTGGGTAGGCCCAGGCACACCCGGGCCCACCCACAGCTACGCCACTGGGCTGCGTTAGATAATTCGGATCGCATCCAACGTGTCGACTGCACATCACAGCGCATTATTTTGACCCACAGTGGGAACTTCAGTCTCATGCTTTGACTGTTATGAAGACAGAGGAGCGGCATTTCGCCGACGACTGTAAACAGGCTTGTCTGTTTGAGCAACTGGCTCAGTGCAAAGAAGTACACAGGGTAGGGAGAGAGTGTAAGAGAGAGAGAGAGGTTCCAGGTTGTTGTGTTGAGAATATTCAGGAGAATATTTGTCATTGTTCAAATGATAATAAACAAACATTTGCATAAAGCATATTTGTCCACTCATATGTTGATAAGAGTATTAAAAACTTGAAAAATATTCCTCTAAGGTACATTTAGAACAGATAAAAAATGTGCGATTAATTTGCGATTAATCGCAATAAACTATTTTAATCGACTGACAGCCCTAATATATTCATATCTCATACTGCACTGTAACTTTTATTCACGTACCTGTGTTATTTATGTTTTATTATCTCTGCTTTTAAATCAGTGTTTTTAAATACCATTTTATAATATGTTTCTTAATGCTCTTAATGTCTTTAATTTTTGTAAAGCACTTTGAATTGCCTTGTGTTGAAAGGTGCTGTATAAATAAACTTTATGGCTCCAGTAAAATCTCAAATTTAGGAAATATGACATTTATGTTTTTATATTCAAAATTGTGTGAATACAACTGGTGAATGGAACAGTTCTATGATGCTATTATCATACATCACTGATTGCTGTCAGCTCAGTTAATCATCATCATCATGGTCATTGGATCAAAGACAGTTATAGTTTTTTGACTTCATTCAATTGTTCTTTTGGAATTTGTACTTACATAAGTAAACCAAGAACAAATAACACTGCACATTAAAAACCACATTTCACCAAAATGAAAAATAAAATGTGAGGATGTTAGTCCTGAGCTGATCGGCATCTCCGCTATCTGGATTTGTTTGGGTTGCAAGGCTTTTTGATTTGTACAAATCCAGGCTTTTTCCTTGGACCTTTCTGGTCGAGAATGATGGAAGTCTTGGCAATTATTAATGGAGGTTTTGAAAGCAAAGGCACATTTCATTACACAAATAATAACATGTATATTTCATAATATGTATAGTTACTCAAATGTAAATAAAGACATAGATCAGCTACAACCTACAGATAAGGACCAAAACCTGGTGTAACCCTCCCTACCATGACTCCCTGGATCCAGCCGAAGCGGGTGGGTTCAGGTTCCGGCTGCTCCCCCTCCTCTTCCTTCTCAGAGCTGTCTCCTTCCTCAAGCTGTCCACAGACTGTCTCCTCATACACCGGGGGTCTGCAGTCCGCCTAGACCAGTGAGGACAAACAATTCCAATCTTTATGGGCTTTAATCACTAACCACAGATTTATTTTAGCTTAGACCCAAATACTGCCACCCCAAATAAAAATGCATGTGAAAGAGCTCATCTCTGCATTGAGATTTTACAGAAATGCATTATCAACACTAGAGCGAGTAGACTTTGTAACAGAAATGAAGAATGATTCAAACCAATTTGACATAAACAGAGTTTTTACATTTTAGGTATTTTATTTTAGTTGTCAGTATTATTCCTTTAAACTACTTTAAGGAGTTTCAAAAAAGATTGCCTGTTGCTATTATCCGCTAATAACACAAGTTTAACGAAAAGAAAAAAGAAAAATGACTTTGTAAACTAGAAACACAGACAAAAATTCAAAATAAAATATTTTCTAAATCATTTATAAAAGCCAGTTGTTGCATGTTTTACAGATTAGGGTTACAATGGTATTTGATGTGAATGGAGCAAATGTTGTCAGATCAAGGATTAAGTATCTATGAGGAAAATCTGATTCAGAATTCCTTTGTTTGTCTCGCAACAGGGACATTTAGACTTTAGAGAATAGACTTACATATTAGAAAGTATGCACATGTTATTAATAATAAAAACACAAAATGGAAAAAAAACAGATAGCAGGTAAGTACACCATGTTTTTTTTAAAGTTACCATTTAAATTAAGAGGTAACTGGTACTGTTTACAGAATGTAAATACATTGAAAGAAAACTAAAGCGTGAATTCGCACGAGGGTGTATTGCATCGTGTATTGTACAGGTATAAGTGGCAAAAATGATGAACTATGTAACCTGACTTATTTAAGATTATCTTTTTTTATTCTGGTAATGTGGGTAGAGCTAAGCAGAGACCCCTCCTCACCTCAGGGTTAGCGTGCAGCTGGTACAGTGAGGGTCTGAAGCGCCTCCGTCGGCCGTACACCTCTGTGTTGGCGTAGAAGTCATAGTGTGGGGGGGCATCCAGAGTCTCGTAGCCAGTTAGAGCATCTGATCCCAGGGATGCTACGCTGCTCCCATCAATGTAGCACTGGTAGGACTCATCCAACCCCCCAGGAGCTGCCTTCACACTGGGTCTGTATGCAGCCAGGTGAACACCATCGCTGGCTGCTGGAACCTCCATTCAGAACAGCAGATCTCTCTCTTGTCTATTTCATTTGATTGTTACCTCAATAACAGCGAACAGTCTGCTTTTGTATAAATATGTTTAATCAAAGCTGTCTATCTGTGTGTCTGCAGTGTAAGGTGTGTGAACAAGGCTTCTTTGTGCGGCTGCTTTTATATTTTACCTCAACAAGCAGGAAGAGCCCAGGGCTGTGTGCTGTAACAATGCTGGTTCAGTGAACAATCAAACACAACTATTACAGGAACATTTAAGCACTGCATGGACAATTACACATTCTGGACTGAACTGGCCCTCGAAATACTGTTCCACCAAATTAGTGCAGAATTTGATTATGCTCTCTTATATTCAAGCTTGTGCCTTTGTAGATATTACATTTCATTTAGCTGACGCTTTTATCCAAAGCGACTTACAATTACCAATTACAGGGACATTCTCCCTGGAGTGACTAAGGACTAAGTGCCTTACTCAAGGGCACACTAGTGGTGGTGTTCCAGGCGGGATTTTAACTCACAACCTTCCGATCTTCAGCCCACCTCACTATCCATTAGACCACCACTATCCCTTACATATTACTGTTTAGTTTGGATCAGTTTTCAGTTGAATTTAGTTTTTCGGTGATGTCATCACAATTATTAATGATTAATCTCCAGAGGTGATCGTTATGCACACAGACCAACCTGTGAAATAACCTTGACTGAGACACAAATTCAGAAAAGATATGTAATCCTCTTGTCAACTGTATTTCAATTTCTAATTATTGTCATTTTATATTAGGGTATACTTTAGGAGCTTTTCAATGACAGTGTGTAAATGCAATATTTCCAAACAATTGTTCAATTTCTTTTTATACCATATATTTTTGTGATACAATCATAGTAAACAATAGAACAAAATAAACTCTGTTGTTATAACAAAACACATTTCTTGTTAAGTGGCAACATATAGTCACCAGAAATGGTCTGTTTGTCTGAATGTCTATTGACAGCTGGCATTACCGCAATAGCATAGCAACCGTGGTGCTACAGTGAAGAAACATCACAGATGTGTTGTTGAGATCAGGGGTCACCTTCAAAAGCAAGTGGCCTGATCTTGATATGAATCCCATTTCCTGCATTTCTACAAACATTTAGGGACCATGGTGATACAAAAATACAGGCAAAAATGTAGTTGGCCATAATGATAAATTCTGCCAGAAAGAAAAGTACTAAAATATGTATAACAAAAAGCTGTCTTACTTTCTGAATTGTTTAATATAGGGGCCAACACTGGAGAGAATCATTTCATAAAGTCAAACATTTTCAGAATTAATGTTTTGTGTGATTCAAATAAAAAATAATGTGAGATTCAATTTCCACTTTTTTTTTTTCTTCTTCTTTTATTTATGGTCATATAACAATTGATTCAAAATATGACCAGACGAACCAAAAACAGGTCAACAAACAACAGATAATAGAACTTTTAATATAAAAAATGTATGTTTCATCGTCCTGAATCTATCCCTTCAATCCCATCTCTCCATGTATCCTTTACTGTCCTCTCTGCTCTTCTCAGCTAAAAGAACCAAACACATGCTTCCTGTTCATTCGCAAGGATACAATCCTGGTAAATCTTTTCCCTGCTGACTTCGTCCAGCAATTCTCTGTGAATGTGACAAACTGCTACATTGTTCATGCGAATTTGCATCATTGTAACTCTCAGCCAGGTCTCCAACCTCCTCAGAGCACTGAAGCTCCTCTCTGCTCAGCAGAGGCTGCAGGAACAACCATAAGAAGCCGTATAAGGGCTGCTTGGTCGAAAAGGCCACAGACTTCAGGCAACTAACTCCTCAGAATAGCTGCGGCCTCTGAAGTGGATTTGAATGGGGACTGGAGTTTAAAAGTCCACTGCGGTGTCCAGCTCCCCAGTTAGGAGGACTTCCTCCAGCCTCCAATATTTTCAGACCACTCTGATGAAACCTCTCCTTCAGCTGCATGTCCACAGTATCCAGCAAAAGGCGGTTTGGTGGACGGCGGATGTGTGGCATGCTTATGGGCTCAATATTTAGCATGCTGATCTTCTCTGTAAATCTCATGGAACTTCTCCTCCGATCTCTTTGCCCTCAGGGTGGTCCTAACACAATCTGCTGCAGATAGCATACCAGACACGGTTTCTGTCTGCTTCTGCAGTGTGCAATCAAGCCACTCCAACTCCTGAATTACTTCAGTGGCTAGCATGAGTCCTAACACTGTCGTACTCTTCCGAATCTCTCCAGCAGCCCTCTTGCAGTCGCATCAGTGTTTGAGGCATCTGTTTGGGCCATGTCCTCTCAGCTGAGTAGCACCGACTCGTACTGACGTAGCACAGACCAGATTGCTGGAGTCATGGTGGTCCATCTTGTTTGACACAAGATTGCTAACTGTCCCTGATGCTGCTGTTGCAATGTTCACAAATGTTGTTTTGTATTTGCCTGACAATTTGTACAGACAGCCACGCTTGTGGAGCCAATCCAGGGCATCAGATGTTAGGGAAGAAGCCTTACAAGCAGCCTGGGTGACCAGATGTACACAGTAGGCACCACAGTGCACATACAAAGCCAGTGGCTGCATCTCCCTTATCCTGGCCTGTGCTCCCTTTCTGTCACCTGACATGTTTGTTGCCCCATCATATGTTTGTCCACGCAGACCAGACAGCGGAAGATTCAAGCGCAGCAACACATCTGTGGCAACTTTTGCTAAGTTTACCCCAGTTGTGCTTGAGACTTCGTAAAAACCCAAGAAGGCCTCCTGGGGAACCAAATCATGGTCTACATACCTCACACATATGGCTTCCTGTTCAGTTCCTTCTATGTCCTGTGTTCCATCAATAATAATGGAATACTGGAGGAGAGGCAGCTTGTAAATTGAGCTAATGATTTCCCTAATGATGGTGTTTGCAAATAGATTTAACATTTCATTCTGGATTTGGGGGGATGTTTTCTTGTTGACTGCCATCTCTCTAAGCCAGGGTCACCTTCACATCTTACTTTCAGTAACTGGCTTAAGTTTCCCTCTTCAGCTGCATGGCGTGCTACGAGCTGTACAGAGCTCACCATTTTTAATAGACATCGTCTTGATTCCTGTTGCTCTGCAGCTTTGGCTGAAGATAAATGGACATCTACTGGTTTAGTTTGTTGGCAGTGGGTAGTGACGGCAACTTTGTGTACATTGCTTTTCTCCAAGCAGTTCCATTTCCGGTGCTGCGGCTGGGCAGCAGCTGTGTGTCTGTGCTGCGCGCGGCGGTACATTTGAATTACACCGGGCAGCGGCACACTGTGAACTGTCAGGAAGACTCGGGTCTAACTAACCTTATTTAACAGAAAATAAAATGGCAACAACAGGGCTTGGGAGCAGTGGTTGCGTTAACTCGTCACTCCCCCGTCAGCGCGAGTGAGTGACGAGTTGTGTACAGACTCGACGGGTAATAATGGATTATGACGGAAATGTTACGATCCTGTCCGTCAAAATGACTGACAACGAAAAAGTCTAACGCCACCACTGCTTGGGAGAAAGAAACAATGTGATATTTGGGCCCATTTTCGCTACATTGAGGCGGAGAAAAAAAGCGAATGCATTGTTTTATCAGAAGGGAAGCAATGTGGCCATAACACAGCTGGTAACACCACCACAAACCTGACCACTCTCTGCAAAGCTGCTTTCTTAATCATTCAACCTGTGTTTTTCATCAAATAAGGACAAGATATAATCTTATTGTGAAATAAGTGTGACTAAAATTACAAATTATTGGTTTTGGCTAGACTAGTTTGACTGAAATGTTCTATATAATCTGATGACTAAAAAAGACTCAACAGTTTTCATTGACAAAAAGTAGACTAAAATAATTAGTTTTCTTTGACTAAAATAAGACTAAAATGCTCAGACTTTTAGTCGACTAAAACTTGACTAAACAAAAACAGGATGAAGGTGACTAAATATGACTAAAACTAAAAAGGAAATTTAACACAGGACTAAGACTAAAATTAAATAAAAAAATAGCTGACGAAATTAACACTAGTACATACACTCTTTACTAATTTGGTCGCAACAGATCTGTGCCATCAATGTCTCTAGTTCAGGAAAGTTGAGCAACTTCAGGCTGCAAAATGTTTCTGCTACAAAGCTCAAGTTCTCATGCAGTTTGCATAAGCATGTTTCCCTAGCTGAAATAAATGGGTAAGCAACCCAGTAGGGCCTAAATCTGAAAAACAGAGAATAGGAAACTGATTTCATTGACTTCTCTGGCAAGTACTTCCTGTGCAGGTTGTCCATGAGCAATATTTGTTGCACCTTTACCTTGGTATGTGTTAAAGTCTGCTTTTTTTCCTGTTGTTACACGGCTCACATCATCTCTTGTCTAAAAGGCTCTTATTTATTTTTGTAATTCTTCTTCCATGCATAAAAATGTCTTCCTTGAGAAGGAGTATGGATTTCCTCCTCCTGTCTTCCATCGCCTTTGGGTAAAACCAAGGGTACTTTGGGCATATTTCTGCAACCTTTATTTTGTGACCATCCTCCCTGTCATCAGGTTAATGATGAGTCTTTTTTCCTGACTATTACCAGCTTGTTCAATATGATTTTGTAGATCTTCAATCAATGCGTCATGGAACAGGATTTTCCTTGCATTTTGACTGCCTCTTGGCCTCAGATATCTAGCGTTTGTTGCTGGAGACCCTGACCTCATTAACATCCGTTGGAACCTTTGTTTATATCTCCCTTTTTCCCTCTTTTCTGCTGCTTAGTGCTCTGAACCCTAAGATGTCACCAAGATAAACATGAAAATCCATCTGCTCATCAGGAGGATTATGCGGTTCAGTGTTGGCTCAAGGACACTTCCTCCCTCTCTGGTGAAGGACATCTCACTCTGTATCTTTCATGTTCAGCTCCACTGTAATGAGGGCGAGGACTCTGCTTAAAGTCATACAAGCTGCTTAACAGTCTGAAACCTTCGTTTACACAGTCATTTACAACAATGTTTAACTAACA